TGCCCCCCACCTCACAGGAAAGGTAATACAGTTCTGACCCAGGCTACACGTGGGTGGGCTCTGCTGCACATGCAAGTGAAAGAAGCCAGACCCGGGAGGCCATATGTGTGACCTCCCTTATAGGAATCACCCCGAACAGGCCAATCCACAGAGGCCAAGAGTGGACGGGTGGATACAGGGCTGCGGGGGGATGGGGGGGTGGGGGAGTGCTCTCGGCTGTGATGCAAGATGTTCTGAAAGTAGACAGATGTGACAGTCATACAGCACTGAACGTACCAAATGCCACTGAACCATAAACATAAAAATGTGAATTGTTTTTCACTGTTGTCTTAGTCTTTGCTTAACTCTGGCAAAATACACGTTAACATACCATCTTAACCACTGTTAAGTGCACAGTTCAGAGGCATGAAGTATTGGGTTGTCGGAAATGTCATGACATATTTTTCTATGGTTTTCATTGCAAAAATGCGTCATGACTTTTCCGACAGCCCTACATTCATGTTGTTGTGCGACCGTCACCACCATCTGTCTCCAGAACTTCTTCAGCTTCCCAAAATAAACCTCTGTCCCCACTAAACACTCACTCCCCAGCACCCCCAGCCCCTGGCACCCACCATTCTACTTTGTCTCTAGGTTTCGACTCCTCCAGGGACCTCACATTAGTGGAATCATACAGCATTTATCTTTTTGTGACTGGTTTATTTCACTGAGCATCACGTCCTCCAAGTTCACCCACTCTGTAGCAGGTGTCAGAATTTCCTTCCTTTTGATCCGACAGACACTGGTCCAGCGACAAGGGACTTGAGCAGCCTCTGGTCCCACCCACATAGACTTTGGCAAACACCTACCCCCCCTCCAGGGCTTTGCGCCAGGCCTGTCCCCTGCATTAGGACAGCATGGACCTGACAAGTGGAACAGGGACCCCGGGGCACTCACGTCCAGAATGTCCATGCGCTGCCGGAGGCTGTAGTTGACGGTGTAGAACTGTGACGTCAGATACTCCGCCACCTGAGATGAGAGGCTGCTGAGGTTCACAACCCCGCAGGTGGGGCCCCAACACAGACACTACCCAGGGGCACAACCTCAGCACCACAGCTGCTGAGACTCACCCGGGCTGGGTCTGTAACCGTGACGGCCACCAGGGCTCTCTGGCGCAGCCCCTCGAATCCCACCACACTCGTCTTCTCCTCCAGGTGCAGGAGCACCTTGGCCAGCTCCACACTCACCTATATACCGGGGTCAAAGCACCTTCAGCCCCTCGACCTGCCCGGGCCCCTCGCAGCCCTCAGCCTTCCTTACGATGGAAAGGACACATCTCAGAATGCCCGGGACCCCACACGCCTTCTACCTCCCATCCCAGTGAAGTCCCCAGTGACAGGCCTCCTGGGGAGACACAGTGCCACTGAGGCAACACACAAGCCAGACTAGGTTTCCTCATGGCACACATTTCTCTTAGGACATGGCCCACCTACCATGACCCTGAAAGCCCAGCCCCCCCTACCCACTCACCTCCCGCGTGGCAGCCGGGCTCCTGAAGACCAGCCCCTCAAGGGCCTGCAGGGCCGCCTCCCAGCGCTCCCAGTCCTCAGATGTGGTCAGGGCTGCACAGAACCCAGATGGGCCTCCGTGAGTTCTCAGCCCTGACCTTGACCATGGCAGAGCCAGCAACCAGGGTCTGGGCACTGGGCAGAAGGCAGGTGAACCCCCGGGACATGGACAGGTCCCACAGCCCAGCCACCCCAGGCCACGGATGTGCTCGGGGCTGGGGCCTCGCTTGCAGGGCTCTTGGTGGGGCCCATGCCGTGACTGGAGGCCCACCTTCCACACAGTCCCGGATGTACATGGGTGCCTTGCTGTTCTTCAGCTCTCGGTCCCCCGACATGTCGTAGGGGACAAACTCGTCATCACTGGGGAAGAAGCACAGACACATGGGGCCTGCTGGTTGCCCGGGAGCAGACAAAAGGCAGAGAGCCTGAGAGCTGAGGCTGGGCACCCTCCACCACCAGCCTTGACCAGGACAAGCTCCTGAGTCACTGAAATTCACCCCCCAGTCCCTGAAGCTTCAGGAATAGCTGACAGGCTAAGGCTATAGTGGAACTGAGCCCTTCCACACTGGTTTTCATATTGGAGAAAGACTGGACAGCACTCAGAGCCAGCACGGCCCTACGAGCTGACCCATTATCTTGAAATGGGCCCATCAGCCCTCACGCTCACCTGGTGGCCTCTGACACCAGTACAGGCCTGCCCCACACCTCCTTGGCACCTTCCCGCCAACCTACCTGTCAAGCTCAGAGTCAGAGCCCTCCAGCCGTGCCTGGGGGACTCCACCATCCACGGTCTCTTTGTCAGGGGTCTCTGCTGCAGCTGGAGTAACAGATGGGCTTTGGGGAAATAAGGAAGAACCCTTCAGGGACATCCCACATGAGTTTCTGGTCCCAGAAACTGCACTTCCTAAGGAAAGTCTCCTTCCACCCCCACCCTTGTCTTCTTAAGCTTGTCTCAACAACCTGAATCCAGGATGATGAGACAGTGTAACATGCGCACAGGAACCACCCCCACCTGGCCAACCATGCCCAGAGCTCAGGATGGGGACACCTCACCCCGCCTCCAAGGGGCTGTCATTTGCAGGGCAGGGGGTGGCCAACGCCAGCATCTCGCAGCTCAGTTCATCCTCTTCATACTGCAAAGCAGAAGAGCTGGAGTCGGCTGGGACAGGAGCGGCAGAGCCAGGGCCCCCCCAAGGTCCTCCCATCGCCGCCCCCAGTCTGTATACCTCCAGCCTCTAACAGCCAGAGCCTTTCCAGAGCAACTTTCTAAGTCTCCACATCAGCAGAGGGCCCCACCCCTCCTAAAGGAGCTGAGAATCCCCTGGAACAGAGCGGAAGTGGCAATACCCCCAAAGATGTCCCAGGGAGCTCAGGAGACAGAAAGGAGGGGATACCTAGGATGGCCTGAGAGTTAAACACCCAGGGATCCGCCTGGGGGATGTGCTAGGTCACAGCCGAGGGGCTACACCACCACGCCCCTCTCATCTGTGACCCTTAGCAGGGCCCCCAAGGCCGATTCAACACCAACGGGCAGATGCTTCATGGGCTGGCACCCAGGAAGGTGAGGTGACATGGGGGCTGGAGCGACAGCAGCTTGGGGAGACCACGCAGGCACAATCCTCGCTCACCTGGAACTTCAGGGGAGGCCCTTCAGGGTGGATCCGGGCACTGGCCACCTCGGCCACGATCATGCCCAGACGGCGCACAGCGGGCAGGCTGCTGTCCAGGCGGCACTTCACTCCTGCCATCAGGCTGGCCAGCAACTCTGGAGGCACCAAGGTATGCACGCTGAGCGCAGGGGACGGGTGGAGGCACGGGGACTGGGATGGGGAGCCCGAGCCACCCACTCACCATCCCGGCTGTCCCGGAGCTCCGCATCCCTCAGGTGCGCCAGGCAGATGAGGACAGCCTTGCTGATGTAGCGCTGCTGTGGCAGGGGTGCGTGGCGGACAGCACTGCTGCTGCCCCACGTGTCCAGGAGCTCCTTTAGGGCCTGGCGGACAGCACCCCCCACCGCCCGGCCTGGTCAGACACCCCCTCCCACCTCCCCTCCATCCCAGGCAGGAACATGCTCCTTCCCTGTCCCAGCAGAAGGTAGTCGATCCTGGGATGAGGCAGGGACTGAAAGCCAGACAGGACTTACCTGTACGAGGAGCAGGCGCCGCTGGCTGTCCATGGCCAGGTACCCCAGCAGGCTCTGCAGCACAGGCGTCTGCGACAGAAGCCAGGCATCCTGTCATTGCCACGAGGCACATACCACCCACCTGGCCGCCTGCCTGGCAAGGGGAGCCCGGAGGACTGAAGCCCGTCTTTCCAGCAGTCCCAGAGTGGCAACGGGTCTGGCCAGAACGACAGTGATGTTTCCCAAGCAACAGAGCACTGCTCCAGCTCCACTTACTACAGCCATTTCTCTGGGCCCTGAGGCAGCCCGCAGCCCACAGCCTCACCCACGCGCTCACCGCATGTCTGTACTGCAGGAACAGAAGTTTCTGCGTCATCACAAACTGGGCCTTCTTATTCTTCATCACCAGGTTCCCCAACAGTCTCGAGAGGACTTCAGGCCTGTGAGGCACAATGTGGGGAAGAGGGAATCTCAACAGACTGGGCTGGCCCCGCGGCTCCACACTTCCCACAGTGGGGGGGCCTGGGCAAGTGCTTCAACTCCGAGTCAGTCTGATCCTTCCTCTTCCCGGTAAACATGGAAACCAGGGAGAGCCCAGCACCTCAGTGCGAGAGGACGTCCCTTCCCTCTCTGAGCACGTCCAGGGTTGAATGCTTCACCTAGAGCTGGGGCAGCCAGCCTTTCCTGTGACCGGCCAAGAGCCAACTACATACAAAGAGAGGGCAGGTGCGGTATCGTCTGGATCCCCACCTCCCGCCTTCCTGAAAGACAAGTGTTTGCAGCGGGAAGGGTGCCTCGCTTCTTACCCGGGGGTGGCCTCCACGAGCCCTGTCAGCACAGCCTCCGTGGCCCGGTCAGGCACGCACTCAACCAGGCGCCAGCAGACCCGCTGCCAGAGGCAGCTGCCCTGGGTGAGCACAGTCAGCCGGGGCACCAGCACACCCAGGATTTCCTCTGAGGGAAAGCGCAGAGGAGGCCCGGAGACCGGGGTCATGGAGCGCACGGGGTCTATAGCCCACAGGCCCACCGGTTGCATAGCCAACCCCCCTCCGAGGGGCCCAGGACAGCTGGCATCAGCCCACCCAGGGCCAGGCCCAGGCAAGGAGACTGTTGCTGCTTCCAGACACACAATGATGCTTCCCACATCCACCAGGGAACCACGATGCCCGCCCCCTCCCAGGGCAGCCATCAGGAGGGACGGAGAGAGGACCAGGATATGCTGCAGCTTCTCCCCAGACAGGAATCACTCACTCTGCCTCCCATGGACACAGGCTTTCCCGAGGACCTGAGACATGAAGGAGACGGAGCAGTCCAAGCCGCCTGGGACAGGAAGGAAAACGAGACTTTAAAAGAGGGCGGTGGCAAGAACACCTGTCACATGGGGACATACCTTGTTCCTGGGCAGGTGGACCCCGTGTTGTAAAAATGCCAATTCATTCAATCCATCTAACCAAAATCTTAATAGAATTGTTTCTAACTCGAAGAGTCAAACATAATAACTGTTTAAAAAGCTTTACACATATTTGCCCACTTAATCATCACAATGATCCTCTGAAGTAGGGACGAGTATGGTGGCACCAAGAGGAGAAGCACCAAAAGGGGCCCGGCTGAGGCAGTCAGCTACACGTCGGGGCACGTGGGGCTCTCAGCTGCCCACAGGGAGGCAGGGAAGAAACGAGGGGCCAAGGAGAGGGTGTGGCAGTGCCAGCTCAACTAGAAGATCCAGCACGATGGAGCTGACCAGGGACCCACACATGATGGAAACGCAGTGTTTGTAATCTGAGATTGTGCACAGCCACGCACAGTGAAGTAGACTAGATACATTCTGGATACATTTGGAACATCCTGGGGCATTACCCAGCAGCCTGGCTGGATAAACGCAGGCACCTTGTCTCACCGTGGCTCCCTCCCCCTGGATGGTGATAACACCTCCCTCAAGGACGGTCCCAGAACTACAGGAAGCAACACACGTGAAAGGTCTCGGGCAGCACCTGGCATGGTGCCTGCTCCACAGCCTCAGCTGCTAGAGTGCTGGACATGTCCGGGCGAGACACTTGCCCCCACCACTGATATTCCAAAGTCTTTGTGATGAGAGGGTAAGCAAGAAGCCACTCCCATAGTGCCCCCCACCCCCAGACACCCAAGTTGACTGGTGACAAAGACACTGGACAAGGGCAAGTGAACGCTGGCCAACAGGCAAGTGAGATGGACACTCATGACGGTAAGAGCTCCAGTTTTCAGACCATGGACAGTCCCACCGATGCTAAATGAAGTCCCAGCAGCGAGCAGCCCCATCCAGCCGGCTTCACCAATGTCCACCCCAGAACTGAAGAAATCAAGGGGTCAGCTCCATTCCAAGGTCACCAGCCGAGAAGTAGGTGAAACTTGAGGGTGTGGGCTGCTACCACCCCAAACTGGAGACAACTTCTGACCCACCAATGGTCAGAGACTGCAAAGTCCCCAGAGGCCAGGGAGGGAGGGGAGGGATGGCGGCCTGAACAAACAGTTGGAAGGAGGACACTTCAGAGGGGCCCTCACCTCGGAGAGAGTCCACCACCGCCTGCAGCGCCCGCACGACCTCCTCGCCAAGCAGAGAGAAGTAGTTCTGGGGGAAGAACTCGGCCAGGTTCTCGCGCTGCAGACAGTTGCCCAGGCGGTCAGGCAAGCCCACCACCTTGGTGACGAGCGCCTCCTGGAGCAGGGGGAAGGCCAGCTCCGTCTGCTGCCAGCACTGCCCCTCCATCACAGCAGCCATCCTGCCCTCCTTCAGGAACCGGGCCAGCAGATGTGCCATCTTCATCAGACGGAAGCTGGGGCTGAACCAAGAGCAGGTGTGATGGGCAGAGCCCCAAGCCATCTCCATCTTCAGCACCCTCAGCTCAAAGGAGTAGCAACAGCCATCATTAAACAGGTAATTCCAACAGCTTAATTGGAGCTTACATCCTGCACATTCATTGAAAGGAAAAGTATTTAAATCTCGCTGCTACGTCACCACAATTACTAGTGGAACGCGAGCACCTGCTGAGTCCAGCGCAGCCTCCCCGCCTTGGCATCACACTGGACACCACTGCCCTCTCCTGGCAGTGCTTTTCACATGGTGCTTGCTTTTTTTTAATCACAACAACCACTGAAAACCCAGCTTCGCAAGGACAAGGACTCATGAGCCCTGATGTGGAATCTGAGAAGGACCTCGAGCGAGGTATCCGTGAGCTTGCTGTGGTTCCCAGGTGCCTCACAGCAGAGCTGGGAGCCACAGGGTGAAGGAGAGAGCCCAAGAGGATGGCGATGCCCACTGCCACCCATGTCACCTCAGTCTGGAGCTAACCCACTGCCTTAGCCACAGGGGACATGAACACTCCAGCTCCTTTCCTTCGCCTACACATCAGGGACAGAACAGAGCGCAAGAGATTAACACAATCTCTTGTGTTAATGTAAATCCACTGCAGAGATTAACACAAACCGCTTTTAATTTTAAGGTGCTCTACCATTGGTTTGCAATCCATCAGGCCATGCTTATGCTTCAGATGTGACAAGTGACCCCATAATCAGACCCAGCTCCACTCACCTGGCAGCGCCCTCAAAGGCCTCCATCAGCACCAGGAAGGCTTGATCGGCCGGGCCCCGCAGGAAGAAGCTAGCCCACAGCTCCTCCAGCTGGCCATTGGGGAGCAGCTCCAGCCAGTCTGGGCTCAGCTTGCCAACAAGATATCTGAGAAAGGCAGAAAAGTGGACCCTGGCAAACTCCTCCTGCTCCCCAGGAAGGGCGGGGTTCTCCGTTTCACCGAGATACCGCTTCAGGGACCCCAGGGTGGAGAAGATGCGGCCACCATCCTCAGAAGATGAAAGGGTATGAACAGCTTCCCGCACGGTAAGTCGGACCGAAGACAGCACTGGATCCATCCTGTTAACAGGAAAGGACCTGAGAAGTGCAGGCGCAAGGGGCACCCACGGGACCCAGTCTAGGACAAGGAAGCATATTTCACATACTCCCAGAAACTTCTGGCCTCCTATTAAGTTTCCTGGGGACCCCATGCCTTCTCACCCCTGCTGTCACCCAGCAGTATCCACCCTCCAGCATCTGTCATGGTTTCCACCAAGAGTCCATTTCAGGCCCTGAGGCCCTCCATGACTCCCTCTACAGTAGGGCAACCTGCCCAGGGACACGTGCCAATAGCTGGAGACATCTTCAGTTGTCATAACTAGAAGTGGCAGGGGCCAGGGATGCTAGTAAACATCCCATATACACAGGGCAGACCCCACAACAGGGGATTATCCCAGCCAAATGTCAACAGTGCCGAAGCCGGGAGACCCTGGTCTAGAGGTATCCAATCAATGCACTTCCAGCTCCCTGATGCAGCCAAACTCCCTTCCTTCCCAGAAACCACAGCAGTCTGTGGATAGTATTTATTTCCGGTGGGACGCCCCTGCAAGACTGAGTACCTTTAAGTAGGCACCTGTCACCAGTGCACCCAACCACTTGATAAGGGGCCCGAGAGTGTCCCCAGGAGCCTGGGGGCTCCTGCCCCAGCCGGGTCTAGGCGGGCTCCGATATGCGGTGTACAGGCCGGTTAACAAGCCAGCGATGGGCCTGTCCCACGCCCCCTCCCCAGCGTGCGTCCAGATCCCACCTCGTGGCGTGACGGGAGGGGGCCTCGTGGGACTGGAGTGGATCTCAGGGACCGGAGGCGAAATTCCGGCAGTGGGCAGGGGCCTCGGGGCGGCGCGCAACCCCGCGGTCACAGGAGTGGCTGCGGCGAGCTCAGGCCCCGCCCCGCCGCTGCCGACCCGCCGCCGATTCGCTACGGGGCGCCGAGGCCCAGCTCCACGCTGGGTTCCCAGCGCGCGCGGGCGCGGAGCACGAGATCCCAGGGCCCCCTCAGATATGCCGCCGAATTTTTTTGAGCCTGTGGGCCCGGCCCCCGCTGACCGATCGTGACGAATCTGCGGCTAAGCCAGGTAGCCGGAAGAGGCGCGGGGCAGGGGGGCGGGGACTGTAGGGGCGTCATGCCCCATGCAGGCTGGTTCGCGTTCCCCCACTTGGCTCCAAGCCGGGTTCCTCAGCGCTCAGATGGTCCGCCCTTCCCTCTGCCTCGGTCACCATCTTTCCCGGAGTGCTCTCCAGCCCTACCTACGCTCCGGAGCCCCAATTCTCTCCCGATCGCCACGCGTGCGCGCCTCCACAATACCTGCTGAGCTAGGCCCTCGTGTCCGGCTTCGCTCTCCTTCCCCGAGGCAAGACCCTGCTCTCCCGGAGCTACGACCCTTACAGGGAAACGCACCATGGACAAGGAAGCTGCATCAGCGGGGATGGTTTCGGGGATTCATGGATGCAGCGGTGTAAATGAGGCAGGGTCCTGGAATAGGAGGGGCTGCACGTTCAGCACGTGACCACCAGCCGCAGGTGGCTATGAAATTAGCTGAAATCAATAAAGGGCTCGATAGCCCCCTGTGGCTAGTGGTTGCCATAATGCATAGCGCAGGTATGGACGCTTCCGTCTTGGCAGAAACTCCTACTGGCAGCATCGGGGAGTGATCTGGGAAAACCTCACAGAGACGCCATTTCAGCCTAGACGGTCCTTCGGGGGGAAATCCTGGAAACATTTATTCATTCACCATACACTAATTAAAAGCCAGCTGCGTGCAGCAACACTCTTCCAGGTCAGAGAATGAAGCAGACAGATAAAGTCCCTTCTCACATATCAGGGAGACAAATACAGTTCATGCGCAATATGCCAGATGGGAAATAGTGATAAGAAAAATTCAGCGGGGTGAGAAAATGAGTGACCCAGGGCAGTCTCATTTTAAACCGTCCACTCTGGGTGCAGTTAGGAGAGTGGACGGTAGGGGGCACCCGTAGGTGCAAGGAGCCCAGCTGGGCTGCTGATGTATAAAGAAAGACAGGTGTGAACCAGGTGGTGAGAACCGCTGGCTGCCCTGAGATGTTTCTGTGGAGTAGAGCTGATGGGTTGGATGTGGGATGTGACAGGCATCGAGGAGTGGAGGATAATGCCTTCCTGGGACTCTGGGAATTCCTCTCAGTCCACGTCTGTATTAGAGCTACTGCAGTCACCCATTCTTTATTTCCCTATTTTCTGATCATCCAGTAACTTCTCACAAAACTGCACAAAAGATAAATTTCTTAAGCCTGAAAAGTGCCTTTATTCTTTGAACCAGGTCAATTTACATTTGAACTAGAGGCACAATTTTAAATGAAAATCACTTTAACTCAGAAATATTAAGGTTTGTTGGGCCCGCCGAGTGGTGCTGGTTAAGAGCTGGCTTGGGACACCAGCTCTGAGCATCAGGGCCCTGGTTAGAATCCCACATTAGGGCCAGTGACGCTGCACTCTCTACAGCTAAGATGGTGAACAACAGCTGGACCTGGAGCTGGGCTGCCATGAGTCCCCGGCGACAGCATAGGCTGCAATGAGGCTGCAGTGGGCTGCCGTAAAGCTACTGTGAGTGGCTGGCAGCCAGCGTGAGCTGCCGTGAGCGGCCGTCCACTGGCCGGCGACTAATCTGCCTCACCCGGGAAGAGCGCAATAATAATACCGACATGGGCCAATGAAGCGACGTCCTCCACAACTAGACTGAAGAACAAAAGGACAGCAACTTGTCTGTTCCCCTTTCCCGATTCCCCAACGCTGTTCCCCTCCTCCAATTCCCCAATAAAATCTTTACAAAAAAAAAAAAAGAAATATTAAGGTTTGCTCCTCTGTCTTTGGCAGCCAGCACTGCTACTGAGATAGCCAACAGTTTTCTGGCAAAAGTCTCAATCATCCCTATGTGACCAGGTTTTCTCTCTGGACATATGAGGTTTGACAATTAAGTTAGCGAATTTGTTGCAACGATGTTGCTAAACTTTTTTGATATCAGAGGGATTATTCATTATGAATTTGTACCAACTGGACAGTTAACGAAGTTTACTATTTGGAAGTGCTGAAAAGGCTGCATGAAAAAGTTAGATGACCTGAACTTTTCACCAACAATTCATGGCTCTCGCATCATTACAATGCACCAGCTCACAGCACTGTCTGTGAGGGACTTTTGAGCCAGTAAACAAATAACTATATTGGAACACCCTCCCTACTCACCTGATCTGGCCCCCAATGACTTCTTTCTTTACCTGAAGATAAAGGAAATATTGAAAGGAAGACATCTTCATGACATTCAGGACATCAAGGATAATAACGATGACAGCTCTGATGGCCTTTCCAGAAAATGAGTCCCAAAATTGCTTTGAAGGGTGAACTAGGTGCTGGCGTCGGTGCATAGCTTTCCAAGGGGAGTACTTTGAGGGTGAACGTAGTGATATTCAGCAATGAGGTATGTAGCACTTTTTCTAGGATGAGTTCACGAACTTAATTGTAGGACCTCATATTTAGGATCTCCTTGTCCATGGGGTGCTGACACTTGACGAGAGGAACCTTGGGGTCAGCAGCCGTTTCCTTGACCCTGTTCTCTCTGGCATGTGGTCTGGAAAATAGTGGATGCCCTTGTCCTCGACACCTTCCTAGATTATCTTCCTAACAATTTCTTCCAACCCGTTTTCTTTAGTCTCACTCTACAGTTTCTTTTTGTTGGATTTATCTCAAATGTTATGTTTTCTCTCTTCATTTCCATCTCTTTGTCTTTTTGCCTAATTTCTGGGCAATTGCTATAACTTTGCCTTTCAGCTTTTCTGTTATTTTTATTGGAGGTGGGTCATAGATTTTATTTCCAAGATTAACCTCTCCCTTTCTGATTAGTCCACTTTTCATAGCATCCATTTCCCATTTCTTGCCGTGTGGACACAAGCTTTTCTCATCTTTCTGAGGGTATTGATTAGAACACTTTTGAGATTTTCCATGGCCCTCTGCATTGTCTCCTAGGTTCCTTTTCTGTTTAGGCAGATTTCTGTTGCTCCTGTCAGAAGTTTTCAAGTATCTGGTGATCCTTGGCTGAGCTTTCATATTAAGCAGGAGACAGTAAACAGCGATGGATGGGAGGGTGGGGGGGGGTCTACTGTACACCTGCAAAGACCTTTTTCCAAATAAGGTCCCATTCACAGGTATGGAGGTTAGGACTTGGACCTCTTTTATTGGGAGTCCCTATTCAGCTCACTACATAACCTGTTCCCCAAAATAAATTAAAGTGGCTCTCAATCCCATGTTCCTTGCCTTACCCAAGGGAGAGATGGCCTCACAGGACATGCTGTGCCTGGTGGGATGCTGGGCCCCACTGCAGACTTGGCTCTAAGGACTCCCTAGCCCCAGCCAAGTTCCCTCTCCTGCTTCGACTTCCTTTCGGTGGAAACATGAGTCCATGTGCTCCTGCTAAAGCAATCACCCATCTGCCTGTGAGCCTGCCAGAGCAGGCCTTCCACCCCGTAGAATTCTTTTCCAAAGAAACTGCATCTGTTTTAAACTTGTCTCCTTGGGAACTTCCATCTCTCCAGAGCCCATGGTCTGGAAGGCAAATGCCTTCCATTCGGTGGCAGGAAATACCCAACTCCCAGCCAGAGTCAGAGAAGGAAAACTTCTCCACCGAGAGCTGGAGGGAGCATGGGCTGAGGCAGGAGCACATAGCAAGCTGCTTCACCCTGCAGTCGGAGGCAACTCCTACTCCTCGTCCTTCTCAGAATGGGCAGCCCAGACAGGAAGACCCTGTCTTTCTTTCTTATTTTTGTGCCCGTATATCTGCACAGGGGTTTGTCGCAGGAAGCCGGCCCCGCAGTGCAAAGAAAACCGTTTTTCCAGAGGCTCCGCCGACTAGAGGATCAGGTAAGCATACCCAGGCTGTGGGGCAGTTGAGTTTTTTTAGATTGACAAGAGGGAAAGGACAGACATTACAGAAATGGAGTAGTGAGCATCGGTGGTGTGTGGCCACAGACGTGGAGTTTCTAGTTGTTCTTATCAGCTGATGTTATTTTCACCTATAGTTGGAAACCAGCAGAAAGGTTTCCTTGGCCCTGATCTGAATACAGCAAGGATTCTGACACGTAAGGATTGGGTGGGAGTCAGAGGCTGGGAGGGGGTGGGCAGCCCCCAGGGATGTGATTGAAAGTGTGCTGGGACCAGAAGGTGTGCTGAGGAGCAGACAAGGCAGCAATGCTAGGCATGAGGGTGAGGTCTCGGGTCCACTGTGGAGCAGGCGCCCCTGAATGGGTCTATAGCCAGTTCCTGAGTAGCCTGCATAGGTCGGGCCTGCATCAAGCACTCCCCACTTTGACCCCCACAAACAGCTCACGGAGCCCATCCTGGCATCTGTCCACTCATAGGGAGAAAACCCTGAGGGTCAGGGGTGAAGAGCTGGGGGCCAGACTATGAGCATGTAGCCTTCACTCCTCACAGTGCCGCAGAGTGACCTCGGGCTGTTCCCCCACTTCTGAGCTCACCTGTGATGGGGCTGGTTGAGGTGACCCACTGGCTGTCCGTAGGTGCCACAGAAGCACAGCAGGGAATACTTGTTCCGTAGCCTCCCCTGCCCCAGCCCCCATGGTTGCTGTTTTTCTCCTCCAGTTTCAGAGTTTCCAGGAGGTGATGTTAACACATCTGCAGGCCATTGCCAGCAACTACAATGTGTCCTACAACATTGACGCCCGGTTCCAGAGCCTAGCCCAAGGGAGCCAGGCCATGGCTCTGGCGGTCAATCAGTCCCAGGCCGCCATGCAGAGCGACCTGGGCCACCTCAAAACCTGGATGCGGAAGATGCATCGCAGAAGCCGGAAAGTGGATTCCAGGTTGCTCGCTTTGGGCGCCACCCTGAGTGAGAGGAGCCAGCAGCGTGCCCGGGAGAGGAAGGAGCAGGAGGCACAGAGGGAAACCCTGTCCAGCCTGGCCCTGGACATGAGGGCCCTACAGGACACGCTGGCTCGCCTGATGCACGTCGTCCAGAGCCAGGGCGCCAAACTAGACACGCTTGAGGAGAGGCTGCAGGTGGCTGGCCCTGGCACCACAGCCCCCGCCTGGCCTCCCGCCCAGCCTGAGCCACCAAGCCCAAGCGCCCCAAAGCTGCAGGGGACCAGGCAGGTGCTCAGAGCTTTGCTTGAGCCCAGGGACTCACCTCAGGACTTTGCTGACAATCTCCAAGGGACACGGGAGCACCCAGGCTCAGGTAGTCAGCGGTCATGGCCCCCTGAGAAACCAGGAGAGAGTAAGTACCATGGATCTGCCCTTCACTCATCCACCCCCACTTTCCCCCCTCACTTCCCCTGAGGCCTACAGTTCCCTCCAAAAAGCCTTCTCCCTGGGGCTATGTGGAGAGGATACTGGCTTCATGCCCCACATACCCTACCCTGGAAGAAAGGGGCCATCCAGGTGACAGCCAGTCTGCAGGTCCCCAGGAGGTCAGGCCACTCCTCTGCCTGGGCGTTAGGAGCGAATGCATACACATGACAGGGTGCTGCCTGGCAGTCAGTATGTGCCCACACCAAGCCAGGGACTGGCCTCCTCAGGGCCGGCAGGACCTCACCAATGCCCTTAGCCATCACCAGCATGCGCCCTCACTGCAGGACACTGGCTCAGCCAGCACCTCCGGGGAACTTGTGCCCACTCATGGAGGTCCCCGGGGCTTTGTAAAACTGGCTCTGATCTGCCAGGTGAGGGGTTCTCCGCTGCAGCACTGCTGACACTTGGGGCCAGGCAGTCCATAGTTGTGGGGGCCGTTCTAGGCACTGTAGGGTGTTTAGCAGCATTCCCAGCCTCCCCCTACTAGATGCCAGTTTGTCTTTAACTTTTATTTTTCATTAAGTTGATTCCTCTGTCTGAGGCCCCTCGAGTCCCTTAATCTGAAGCAATGTTTGTCTTCATCCTGGGGGCTCTAGTGGCCTCACCAATAAGACAGGCTGACCAGCTGACCTCAAGGAAACCACCAGTGCTCCCAGGAAATGAGGGGCTATAGGTTTGGGGCCCCCCAAAATTCAGACAACCAAAACTGTGTGCACACATTGCTAGATGTACCCTGAGGGCACAGTTCCCTCTGGTTGAGGATCACTGCCCTAGACTATGACAGGAGCCCCCAAGGCGGAGAGAGGAGCTGAGGGCCAGCCATAAAACGCTCGCCATCCACGAACCCAATGGACTGATGGGCTAAAAAAAGCATATTTCCCTGCTCTGCCCCCTGCCTGCCAATCAGAACCTTGGACAAGGTGCATCCACTGCAGGCCCACCCCTGCCCCACAGACTCTTTTGTCAGGCAGACCTGGCAAGAAGTCTGGTCAGCCGGACGTTGGTCCCCAAGGACATCTATGTCCTGATCCTGGGACCCTGTGGATATGTTACCTCATGTGGCAAAGAGGACTTTGCAGGTGTGGGAGATATATATATATATATATATATATATATATATATATATGTATATATATATATGTATATATATATATTTTTTTTTTTATTTTTTTTTTAGAAATTTTATTGGGGAATAGTGTGTTTTTCCAGGACCCATCAGCTCCAAGTCAAGTCGTTGTTTCAATCTAGTTGTGGAGGGCACATCTCAGTGGCCCATGTGGGAACTGAACTGGCAATCTTGGTGTTATGAACTTGCGCTCTAACCACCTGAGCTAACTGGCCGCCCCTGCAGATGTGATTTTGAGATGGGAGGTGATCCTGGATTATGGTGTAGGCCCAGTGTCATCACAGGGGTCCCTATAAGAGGAAGGCAGGAAGGTCAGGGTCAAAGGAGATGTGCTGAGGGAGCAGAGGTCAGGGGGATACACTTTGAAGATGGAGGAAGGGCCACAAGCCACAGATGTGGGTGTCTAGGAGCTGGAGAGGGTAGGAAGGGGCTTGCCTCCGGAGCCTCCAGAAGGAACCAGCCCTGCGGACACCATGATTCTAGCCCAGCGAGACCTATGTCAGACTTCTGACCTCCAGAACTGTAAGCTACTAAATCTGTGTTGTTTTGAGCCGCTGAGTTTGTGGAGGTTTGTTACAGCAGCCACAGGAAACCCATACAGAGGTTACCCTGGTGGTGAAGAGTGTCGTCTCAGGCCCACCCCTTAGCAAGGCACATTACTGCTGTCATTCTCCAGCCTTCCTGCCTGTCCGAAGGGGCCTGTTGTGTGTAAAGATAATGAGACACAACCCTCACAGTTAGTGCTTGATGGAGGCCAGCTGAGGGGTCTTAGGCCACCAACCTGGGGCAAAGGGCAGTGCCTGTAGCGTGGATGTTTCTGGAAGCTTCTGGCTATTTCTGGAACCTTCTAGATGTTTCTGGATGTCCTGGTGGTGCAGGGGCTGACTCTCTCCTCTCTGTTTCTAGTTTGCAACGTTGGCCCTGCACTCGTCTTCCCAAATGCCTCCACCAAAAATGTGGTCTTCCTCAGCCCTGGCTTCCCCTTAGGCCTTCGGGCCCTGTCTGTCTGCACCTGGGTCCGTACGGCCTCGGGCTACCTGGGCACGCTCCTCTCCTATGCCACTGAGGAGAATGACAACAAGCTGGTGTTACATGGCCGGGACTCCCTGGCCCCCGGCTCCATCCATTTTGTGATCGGAGACCCGGCCTTCAGGGAGCTGCCCCTGCAGCCACTACTGGACAGCCGGTGGCACCACGTGTGTGTCATCTGGACATCCATCCTGGGCAGGTACTGGCTCCATGTGGACCGCAGGCTAGTGGCCACAGGCTCCCGCTTCAGGGAGGGCTATGAGATCCCTCCTGGTGGGTCCCTGGTGCTGGGCCAGGAGCAAGACACCATGGGAGGTGAGTTTGACAGCTCCGAGGCCTTCGTGGGGAGTGTGGCAGGCCTGGCCATATGGGACCGTGTGCTGGTCCCCAGAGAAGTCTCACACCTTGCCATTGGGAAGGAGTTCCCACCAGGCGCCATTCTGACTCTGGCCAATGCCACATTAGTAGGTGGATTCGTGCAGAGGGTGAACTGCACCTGCCTAGAGCTCTGTCCATGAGGCCTTCTCACATAGGAGCTGTGGCCATGCTCTGGGCCAGCAAGAAAAGTAAGCCTCCAGCCATGCCTAGCCACCCCCGATCTCAGCATCAGCCGCTCCATGGAGGGCCCCCACCCAGACTGGGGAGTGAAGGGCAGGACACTGCCTCCAACCTGGGCCAGGCACACCTGCCATCTAACATAGCATGTGGGAATTCCATGAGGGGCATGGGGGATAAGAAAACATGGGGGAGGAGGAGAGAGGACAATGGGCAGAGCTGGGAGCCGGGATCCCTGAGAACCACATTCTTTCCCTTGCTGTGGCATCCTTACAGTTGCCTGCTCTGTAGTATGACATCATTTCAACAAGGCCTGACCTGGCCGGATGGGAGTACTGGACTCCCCGGGGCCTCTCCTCTGGGTGTGGGTTTGCAGCCATTATGGGCTGCTTTCTGGAGATTATATTTTCCTTGAAACTGCATAGGTGTCATGTGAACTGTCATCGCCCTCTCTCAAGGTGACTATGGAAGCTTCCCCTTGGGTGATCCTTGTTCTAGCATCTCATGAAAAGGACCAGAGAATACATTTCCTGGCCTCCAGTGCTATAGCCCCCCATTCACCAGGGGCCCTGGGGGTTCCCTCAAGGTCCTGTGATGGCTGGTGAGGCCACCAGAGCTGCCAGGAAAGGGGACCTGCAAAGAGCACAATTTATTCAGAAATAAGCATTAACAATAGACAGGCAATGTTTTTAAAGCATTTGGATTGGGGTGTAATTTACAAGCTATAAAATTCACCCATTTTAAGTGTACAGTTCAAAGATTTTCAGTAGATTTACCAAATTGTACAACCATCACCCCAGTCCAGCTTTAGAACATTTTCATTGCCCCTCCCCCAAAAAAATCATGCTAATTAGTATTCACTCCTATCCCTACCCCAGCCCTTTTCCCCAGCTCTGGCTACCACTGATCTATCTCTGTGGATTTGCCTGTTCTGGACATTTCACATAAATGGAATCA